TATCTATTGACCATTGCTTTGAATCGTTGTTCTTTTGATCATTTGTCACATTTTATCATTTATTTATTTGCACTTTTATTTTAGTTTTTAATTCATTCATTACTGCATTACTATTACGATAGATATGTCTACAAACTGCAATATTTATCATTAAAAACCACTATTTGTTTCAATCAATTGTCTACTCATTTCTAGTCATCAAAGTATCCAACTTTTCTGTAATCACAGGTAGTGTAAGGCAATGAGAGTGCAGTACCATCGGTGTCACTATCCAAATGCCTTTGCCATCTGTTTTGCACTCAAATTACTGTTCAAATTGGTTTCATTATATTAATATCAATGAAATGGTTTTGCAATTGGTTTTCAATAGACACGCAAAACGCAAATATTTGTGTGAATAGACGTTATTATTGAGTGATTCGTGTGTTTATGTGTTTATGGTTTGCATTTTGCAGACAATTTGTGTCAAACCTATCACTCAATTGTAGGCATTGTTTGCGATTATGTCTGAAACGAGTTCAGACACTAACGGAGACTCGGGTTTCGACTTCTTGACGGACAAAGACGCGAGGAATGCGTCCAACAAACCACTCACCCCTCACACCACCACCACTTCTGGTCAGCCATTCACTCACTACATGTCACTTACATCTGACACGTCATACCATTAACTCTCTGTTGATTCATAAGTTTTGACACTTTTTTGATTGCATTTCATTTAATCAAACAATTTGTCAACTCTTAAGGCACGTCTTCGCCGCCACAGGAGACCAGTGAACAAGAGTTGTCACCATCGGTGCCATTGGTTGTAAAAGCTAGTGAAGCCATGGGTTCAGTGGTGTCGGAACCGCTGCAGCAGACTATTGAGCCGTCGGTTGCCGTGAATCTGAACGAAACGAGTGGTTCGCCGAAGACTCGCTCCGATTCAATGGGTTCTGGTTTTCTCGAGTGGATTGCAAACAATGAGTTCATATCGAAGATGGCAGAGAAGGCCAAGAATTCGGTGGACACTATGATCACGACATTAGATCCCGGAATGAAGGAAATCATATGTAATCTGAATTTAATTGTCATATATTTGTTTGCGTTCTTATGAAACCATTGTTCAGATTCCGGAGGAGATATCAATGTAATGGTGACTACAGACAAAGAGGCGAAGATCTGTCCCATAAGGGAAGCCTTTCAGAAGGTGTCATACCGTAGTTTGCATGCCTTTCCCTTCTGTTTTGCACTGAAATTAATGCTAAAATTACTGTCAGGTGTTCGGGAGGGCCACTGTCAACGGGCTGTCCTCACAGCCGCTGAGCATAGCTTCCCAACCGATCGGTTTCGAAAATGGCTTGAAAGCAGCCAAAGAGCGGATCCAAGCGTTGCGAATGAACACGAGTTCTATTCCTCAGAATCAAGTGATTGTGTCGATCGAGAACTTTATTGTTGACATCTCTGACGATAAGTAATGTCTTAAATGTAGTGATATTTGAATGAACGACAAAAATACTAAATCTGTTTGCAATCATTTGAAAACAGATGGTACGACTTGGGATGTATAGTATTGGAGGATCCCGTGCAGGGCATACACCTCGAGGTCTTCACGCAAATGACTCCCATTCCCAATGAATGCGTAAATCAGATGCGTTTTGAGACTCCCATTGACTATGCGTTCAAGAGTTCCGGTTATAGTGTGAGTGTTGGGGCAGTTATGGCACAAAAGCTCAACACTTCTCCCGAAGAATGGCATCAATCGTGGGTTGGGATCAGTCGTAAGGATATTATACAGCAATCGGCCAACGCTTTGGCCAATCTTTATAAGAATCGTTTGTTGAGATGAAATCGTTTTTATAACTTATTTATTATATTTTAATCATTTGTTTCTCTATTCATTCAAAATCTCTAAAGAAATGTTTTATGAATTTCCATTAATTTATACAATAAACCAATAAATGGATAAATTTTTGCTAAACGTTGTATATTTGAATAATTATTTAAGATTTTTCAGTCATACGTATTCACCAATTATAATTAAGTAAATTGAATTTAGGGCTAATTAAAATTATAAAGTTGTTGAAAGGAATTTTAAAACAATTAAATAACTAAATAACTATGATACTGTAGATAACACTGTTTTATCATTTGATATCACCTATAAATATGAAATCATTCAAATTCTTACCATACTGTAATAAACTTCTTACCGCAAACATGATAATGGTTTGTTAATGGTTTGGATAACGATTTAACACACTTTATTATGATAAATGAACATGGTACTTGAAAATGATAAGAATTAAAAAGTAAAATGAAACAAACAAATGAATTGTTAAAATATATTGAATAAAAGTAATTTTAATAATTTGGCGAAATAATTGATTAGAAGTATGGAAAAACCATTACATTTATTACTAGTTTTAAAATGTCTTTTTGTTAAACATTTAACAATTGTATAGAAGTAACACAAAAATAGGATCAGATATTAATTGATTACAATTTGTTTGAAATAATTTAATTTGTGATAAATTTATGCAATTGTTTGTCATTTTTGTTAAAATA